TTTTTTGGTTCGGGGGATTGAACTTGGGACCTTGAGCTTTCGAGACAAATGCTGGAACCACTGAGCTAAATCCCTGGCCCAAGTAAAGAAGTTTTTTAAAGCATTTTTTTACTCTTAGAAGAAAGAGAAAGCAGTCTTAAGAACATTGGGAATCTTCCTTGGAAATAATTTTCTTAGAATTGCTTTTTAAAAAATTGTTACACGCATGAGTAAAAAGAATCCTGAAAAATTCCTTCAATATGTGATCCAGGTGGTTATACTTTTAATAACTTTATAAAATAGAATGTTTCCCAAATAAGAAATTTTTTGTTCTTTGTTTTTCTATAGTTCCCCCCTCTCCCAGTAGTAGGAATGGAACCCAGGTATACACTACCACTTAACTACATCCCCAGCCCCTTTTATTAATTTTTTATTTTGAGATAGAGTCTCCCTAATTCACCTAGGTGGGACCCTCCTGACTCAGCCTAAGTGCTGTGATTACAGGAATACCCACTGCACCTGGCTCATTAGGCTTTTTACTGTCACTATCTTTAATTGCTATTAAGTTTGCTCATAAGATTTTAACAAAATTGGCACAAGACTTTCATTCATAAGTAATTTCTTCTCAAAATCTAGCATTATAAGAAGGCAAATATTCTTTGGATCATCTTTTCTGAAATTATGAGCTGTATCTTTCAGCACTGTATTCTGGTCACAGCTGAAAGCGGGCCCCATGCAGAGAATGTTAGTACTTATTCCATCTGGACAGACCCCTGGCTTACAGTGCTCTTGCACTGAGCAAGTAGAGCCTTGACAGAAACAAGTACTGAACATTCAGTGGGATTTTTCTTAACCTCACTTAGCTTTCTAGAATTTTTGCTGACCTACATATGAAAGATTGGGAAGGTAAATGAGATTAGAAACTTAATGGAAGGATTGGGTTGGTAAACAAAGATTATTATGAATTGAAGTTCATTAGTAAATATGTATTAAACTTTCTTTAAAATAATTATGGATTGTA